TTGTCTCCTTTTAACTGGAACTTAGACCAAAATAATTATTGTTGGTCAAGGTGTATTATCCCTCAAACTGATGAGGCTTTTAAGAGTTGGGGTTGTATAAGACGTCGTATCCATATATATATATATATATATATATATATATATATATATATATATATATATATATATATATATATATATATATTGTGTATGTGTCTGTGTGAATATTGGATAAAAAACACTGAAGTATAAGAGGCAGGTTACTCTACTTTAAGGTAATTTAAGTGCAATAAGAGGGAGAGGGGAAATAAAATAAATACATTTTACTTCTTCATACCCATTTTCAGACAGTTTCTACTAATGGATGTCAGTTCTCTGGCTGTATATACCAACAGGTTTATTTTGTGTAGGGTTTTGTTTCTATTTACTTTTAGGTGAATTTAGTTTGCTTGGAAATTGGAGTTTGGTTTGGTTCAATGTTGACTAGTCTCTTTTTGTGTGTATTTGGTTGATTTATTTTTTGTTGTTTGTCAAATTTGTCTGAAATAAATTCCTTTTCATTTCATTTTATTTCATTTCAACTGATTTACATAGATGAACTCTTATCCTCCATGTAGGGGTTTAAATAGGAGGAAAACCAGAGATCTGTAGAGGCAGAAATAACAACCAGATGTCTGAATGTGCTTCTTCTGTCTGACTCCTTAACACAAATAATAGTAACTGAGATACGGTTTAGGAAACATTCCTAATCCACACATTAATTGTGTACTGTAAACTATAAGCTTCTCTTTCAGTGAAACAGAAATCGAGGAGTGTGGAAAGTTTAAATTGGAAGATGTCATCTGAGATGGACACGCTGCCTTAATGTGATTGGCTGATATTTAGCAGCCTGAGAGGGGACAGTTTTCTAGTAGGTAACAGGCAACTACAAAAGACAAAACGATTCAGAAGATCAATTCTGATGACAGCCACTAGCATTTTAGCATCACTGCATAAAAACATTTCTCTGATCCAAATAGCAGCCTATAGCTCCTTACAGTGAATGCATTATGGATGAAATTATTTACCTATTGCTTCTTGATATGCTAAATTTGAAAATTAGTTTAGGTTAAGTACTGTAGCACAAGATCAAAACTGGTAATCCAAAAACCGCTGGGTACCTTCAAAAGGCTAGTCCTAAAGAAATTCCAAAATGTTGAGAAGAAAGGAACAAAGTAAACGTTTTGATAACCAGCATGGGTTGCTTCTATTTGATCTGACCGGTAGCTGTCACATCTCCAGTAGCATGTCACAGTCAGTTAACATTACTCTGGTATAAGAGTCCTCCCTTCAAATCCACAGCTGCCTTTGCTCAGTGTGATCCACACTTCCTCCTCCTTCTTAGTCCAGATTAACACAAACTAGGATTAAAACACTTGTGTAATCTACCACAGCTCCATTCAGACTCATTTCTGATCGTCTATTTGAAGCTGTGCACTCAAGCTTAAAGACCTCAGCAATGAAGATCTATTTTTACCCATGAATCTGTTCTGACGTCACGCAGCACGTGCAGATGAAAACATCATCCCTCCCAATGACACACATATGATGCTCCAAGTGCCCCTCACTCAGTCCCACACCATCCATCCATCCATCCAGCGAGTACGATGCTCTTTGCCAGCTCAGTCTCTGTTTTGACACCATCATGCGAAACCGAAACAGATGACAATTACACCACGGATGCTGTGGCTCATTAGGCTGTGTGGGAGTTTTTCTCAGTGGGAGAAGTCCTCTAGCACACTAATCTTCACTGCCATGGGCACTGTGAGATAAAAAGCGAACAAACGCTGGAACTAATGCAAAGACACCGTGAAGAATAAACGTCATTTCACCTTTCTACCATCCATCCTCTGCATGACAGGAGGGAAACATGCAGCAGGGTTTTAGAAAAGTCTTGATTTAATGATTTAGAAAATATAAAAAGCCGACATAAATATCAGCTTCTGTTTACATTAATAAAGATGTGCATCTAAAAAGTTTTTTTTGTTATACGTAAGCAACATTTCAATGCATTCATGTTTAGATAATTCTGCTGAAAACTTTATAATAAATATGAAATTATGATAACAATATTTGATTATAATTAGCTTCTGGTCAGTAAAATCTAAATTAATTGCTGTTTTTTTTTTTTTAGTGGCTGGAACCTGTATGATTATTTTCAATCCTATTTTCTTTAAAGCTTATCCTCAAATTGCAGCAACATTGTATTAATTTTCATCTAAGAAATATAAAATAAAATTGAATATTTCTAATTATCTTCCATTTTCTTCTTTGGGAATTTTAAAAGTGATTAAACAGAAAGGAAAACAATGATTTAGTGGTATAATGATGGATGTAACAGCAGTATGGTGTTGCTATCCTGCAGGCCACATCTGACCAGAACATTAATCTATTTCACTTTGAGATGTAAGGTCATCATGAAATAAAAGACTGATTATGCACATTTTGGGTTTGTATTTTACATCTCATAATAGTCCACTTTATTTTGTGCATTAAAGGGATTATTTAGATATTTTATTTTCCTGGTCGCAGTAATTTTACAATTCAAAGATTGGACCATTTTTCAGAACAGGAAATAGATGTATGAGTTTAAAATGCTTGCAGGTGATTTCTTTGCCTTACATGATCCAAAAAAACATGTAAATACTAATTACTAAGTTGCAAAGACTATTTTATCATAACTCTGGCTGGATATGGATCCCCCTTTTATTAGAGCTCTTATAATGTGTTTGGTTCTCTGGAATAGAGCAGACACCAGGATTAATTAAGTGTTTTTTTCATGTGCATATATGAGGAACTGGATTTATAGCTCTCTCTGGTCATAACAGTGGCTTAAATCACTTTTACACTACTGTACCATTCAATTTGACCAATCTCCACCAAATGGGAATTATTCAAATACTGATAGAGACACACAAAAATCCGGTCAGTATTTAAAAAAAGCATCTGATATTAGCAGACACAAGAAAACAAACGTTCTTATTGATTTCTAGGATGAGTTGAATACGTTACAATATGCAGTTTTTTTTAGTATGTACAAAATATGTACATTTCCCCCCCCAAAAAATCTTCTCTGTACTGTCTCTATATTCCGTCTAACTTGTGAAATGCATCTGCATGACTGATAGAATGACAGATCCTCAGCATGATGCTTCTACAACCTCACACTCTTCATCCTGAAAGGTGTTAATCTTTGAGAAGGGGCTCCTTGCATGGTTTTCATACAGTAAATTCCACAGTGTTAAATATGCAGAGTCTGACTCTTTTAGAGTTATTACAACAATAACTGGAGTAAAATATACACTACATAGAGTTCTAATTTAACACTAATTCTGAGTGAGACCAAATGCACTCTTGAAGTGTTACTTTAACACTGTAAAATTTACACTGCACCCTCTTGGTTTAACTGAACATCTACCTTACAGCTCCACTATGTTCTAGTTCATCACAGGCTCAAGCTTTAAATACTCCTGCACATGGTTACCATTTTCCTGACATCTGAGGGTGACAGGTCAAATCAGAAAGGTAAAACCTAAAAGCAGCTTGGCCTTTCAACTAGATATTGATGGATTTAAATCTAGTATCTAGAAAACATTGCCTCATAATGAAAAGAAGAACTGAAAAATGGTGGAACATGTGTGAAAATCATATTTATAGCTTCAGAATAATGATAGAAGTTTGTGGGTCGGTGTGGTTGAGGTTTAAGTTGTTAGAAAAATACATAAATAGATTTGATGTCAAATATGACCGTATGTAAAAATTTATGGATAACTGTAGCAGAAAAGCAAGACAGAGCTCTAGGTGGCCCCCAGAGATGGTCTGGAAACAAAAGTGACCCAGTTTGTTGGGCTGCCTGCAGATGCTGTCAGCAGCAAATGCACTGCAGCTCCTCAGACCTTCTCAGTGTGCTTCAAATGGCTCTTCTGCTCTGTCATCACCTGTGTCTTCATTCTGGTACCACAGTCTTCCCTTTTCTGTATCACTCTGTAGGCCTGTTTTATTTTCCCTCTCTCTCTCCACAGTTTATTGATTTAAGGATTTAATTTGGTGCTGACCAGAGCAACTTCTGCAGTCCATGAACATCTAATCTGAATGAATGTGTAAAAAATGTCTCACTGACCACAAAAAAAAAAATGGACACAGAGATGAGGAGAAGATTCAAAGAACTGTAGGGGAGAAAACAATTATTAAGAAAAACAAAGGGAGGCTATAGGAACAATTAGTATTTATATTAATAATTATTATTAAAAAAATATGTATCCATGTATGATTATGGATACAATGATTGGATACTATAATGAATAAATAAACATGTATATAAAAAAAAATTAATGAGTTTTTTAATGAAAAAGAAGAGGCTTATTGAAGGTAAGAAACTGAATGTCACTATTAGTTTATTTTAAACAGATAAAAAAGAAGAAATGGATAAATTCAACCTGCTGATATGTTTTACTGTTAACGCTTTAAGCAGCAATGAAAAGGCCTACAGGAGGGTGACACGTTGCCTTACAAAGCAGCACATAATAACTCTCCTATTAAATGTAGGTGGTTACATTTCCTGCATAAATAATAATAACCTGTTTTTAGAGCCAAAACATGACTATTGTTCTATGTGCTGATTTTATGTGCATACATTAAAAAAAATCCACCAGAATATAGTATTTATTTTATGGCAGCATTAGTCATCATGCTTAATGTCTATATTTATTCACGCACAATAACAAACATTGCGTCATATTATCCACTGGTGCTACTGCGCATATGGCTGCAGGATTAAAACCAACACTTTGATCAATTCCAGTTAAAGCAGCTCTAATATTACGAACCCATCGACTATTTGTGCTTCTTGTGATGGCTGTAAACACGCCTCATAGGGATCAAGCAGACAGCGCCGCCGCGTCATGAGATCATCTTTCTCTGAGAACAAACACCCGAAACTATAAACATATAAATACATCAAATAAAACAGCAATCGATCTTACCTTCAGTGCATCGATGAAGGCTACTTGTCACACTGATGCGCATCCTGGTTGCAATGACGATGCCTGCAGTCAAGACTCGCCCTGACTCCCTCTGACACATCCAGATGACAGGATGGAAGCGAGGCTCGCTCCGTCCACTGGGGGGCGCTGTTGTCCTTGTTTAAAGGCAAACATTTGACAATGAGAGCCTGGTAAAAACTTTAAGCATGTTTTTCACCCTTTGTTAATCCTTAAACACATTTTTTTCACGTTCAAATTTGCTGATCTGTCTAAGATATATCTCTTACTTATCAGAATGAATAATAAAAAAAAAAAATATTAATATACGTTTTTTGTTTCATGGGTGCATAGAGCAGGAGGGCATTTGTTTAGTTTATACCATTAGGAGTTACAGACCTGTAATTTCTGTAGTTTTTAAAATGAATATTTCAATAAATTATATAGGAGAAATATGAAATTGGTCTAAGGGATAACTCGATTACTGTCTCTACTGTCAGTGAATATCATCATGAAAAACTGGTTATTAAACAAAAAAATGAACGGCAAAAGTAAAATCTTATTAGAATCAATTTATTTTCTGTTAATTTCAGCAGGTAAATAGGATTATATGTGAAAGGAAGGAGGATAATTCAAAATGATGAACCTGAAAGAAGAAAATAGTTGTTTTTTTAACATAAATAATCTAAGTCCATCCCACTTACCCCCTTAAATCAAAGTAATATATGCCTCTTTTACGAACAAAATTACCTATATTTAAATTTTAACAGTTTATGTTTTCAGTACAGGAGCCTTAACAGGTGCAAGGACCAATTTTCGGTCCTAGAGGCTCCCATCTACAATAGATACATAAAAATGCATAATAACTAACTCTGATACAATATTTAAAGATATTTAAAAACATTTTAACTGACTTAAATTTCATTAAGCATCAGAGTTTTGATTTTGAATACTGGCAATCAGTTATATAGACATGTTAACATTTAAATAAGTTAAGATGATTGGTTTTAACTTCATTCTGGAAGGCAGTTATAATATGATTAGATAAAATCAATATTTTTCAGTGGTTACAACTACATTGTCCATTTCTGTTACTCTTTTATAATCCACTCAGAGTGCTCATGTTTGAACCAAATATCTCAGAGTTTAAATTGAAAATATAGAAAATGCTTTTCTGGCTATTATAAATACAATTTTAAAAGATGAGCTTTCTATATTTTAAATATGTAACTTTTCTTCTTCTATTTTGAGGTGAAACAATCCAAACAGGTTCCAGATGCTTACATGCTTTTTCTAGATTGAAATAATAATAACAGTCTGAACTGTGGAGACTTTTACATGATTTATTGCCAAAAGATAAGATTTTAAGAATAACAAATAGGATTTTTTTCTACATCAGAATTTATGACATTTTTTTTTTTGCTACATTTAGTTGAAGACATTAGAGAAAATACAACTTTTGACATCAAGATAATAAAAAGAGATCTTTGTATAATGTTTGTATAAAAATCCCCAAAGACCACGGTATGATTTTGATTAAATACTAGAATATTCTGCTATAAAACCCACATGTGCTGACCAGATCTGGAAGTGGTTGAGGTGTATGAATGTGGAGGCAAATAATATGAAAATACTTAGGGAGCCTTAATGATAAATAATCTAAGCATAAGCAAATTATGAGATGTGTGGTACATAGCTTTTAATTGTCAACAATAAAAGCATCTGTTCACATTATTTGGAGTCTTTACAGGGGTCAAGAGACCAAACATTCAATAGGTGTAGGTCAAATTATTCATCCAATGTTTTTGAGGGAATTAAATTCCACAGTGTTAAATATGCAACGTCAAAGTACACTGACTCTTTCAGAGTTATTAGAACAACAACTGGAGTAAGATATACGCTATGTAGAGCAGGGGTGTTCAACGTTTTCCAGGCCAAGGACCCCAATCTAATGGTGAGATGGAGCGGGGACCCCCTAATTATATATATTGGGTCCTATAGTCACTCTATTACGAATGGAGTAATGTAAC